AGTGTGTTTTAGGCAATTCTATTTGCTGATAAAGTATATCAGCAGAACACGTCGATAATAGTGACTAAAATATATACATATATATATTTATATGTAAGTACGTAAATACACACCCAGTTACACACACATACACACAACACTTTATAAAAATGTTAAAAGAAAATAAATACTTGGAATATTTATATGCATTTACATAATATACTCTTATTCATATACATATATATGTATGTATGTGTACATACATACATATATATTTGTGCATGTTTATGATTTTTAAGCAGGTCAATGACAAATTCTCCATATGACTGTATAAGAACATAAATATATATATACAAACGCTCATATATTTAGAATACTTTCGGCATAAAAGTAAATATATGAATATATGGATTTCGCCGAATGATAAATACCCTTTACTGAGACTAGAGACTTCAAATTTGGAATATTTCTTTTTGGCTATTGCCGCTCTATATAATATTCAGTTTTTGACGGTACAGGGAAGAACTTTAATGGCTTGATATTGTATATATCATGTTTGATTATATATATACTATATTATTTACTAAGTGGTATATGCTATATAGTATATATAACAGTTCAATATGAAATGTTGGGAGCTTAGTAAACAGCATAATTGATGATTAGCTCAAAAACTTTATATACATGATCGATGACTCCTATTGAAAATACATAAATTTATGTTATTAGTCATGTTTAGTATAGTCCACTAGTTCGAAATAGGCATTATTTCTATTAAAATGAGCAGAATTTACTTGAACCAATTTAAAGCTTGATGAAAGAGATTAAGAGTAGCTGCATATATTTCCTATATATCTTTGGCTCACATGGTACACATGCAGTATAGTAGCTAAGGTAGCCTTTATTAGTGTAATCAAAGCGCATATTATAATTTAACGTGCGAGTTGACATTTTCTTTAGCTTCTTTCTGTTTTTTATTGTTTTCTGTTTCTCAAGTTTCGAGTTTTTCACTGATTAAAAACGAAAGCTCTGCCACATTTATGAGAGTTAAAACGGCGAGGGGCGAGTAGAGCGTATACATAGGTTATATCTGGCCCAACCCTAAAGACCCAAAAGAGTTGCGAATCGGCTGTTAGGAGTGAAGTTTTTTCTTTTTTCTTTCATTTTGCTGTATTCTCTTTATGTGGCCATAATTCACGTGTTGTCAGCCGGCGATTCGTTATTTCAGCATTATGATGTCATATTATAAAGCAGCGCCTAGCAGCGCAGCTGCCTACAGCCCGGTTGTTGTAATACCCCATGAGTGCGAGCAATAACAGGGTAGCATTAGAGTGTGTGTGATAAGTAGCAATAGTTCTTCCCTATATATTCTTATTCAGCAGTATTGTCAGCCTATCTCTATCTCTTTCTACTCAATTACGTTTTGCTACTAACCTGATTAAGCGATTAAGATCGATATTAAACTTTCGCATGGCCTTGCCTGCTTTAGCAACATGAGTGAATATAGTTTGGTATGCAAATTATTCGCTTGTTGCCAATATTTCTCTATAATATGGAAATCAAAGTCTTTTGATTACTTTTTATAGCCTGAACTGATTGATATTTGAATTAGAGCTATAAAGATTTGATCAAAATGTGTGTTAACTGACTGAAGAAGATGGTATATACGTATGTACATATATATGAGTTATTTCTGGCAAATAATCAATAGCTCTTTTTCTATTGAAATCAGTTCGAAGCATATTTGCTATACTCTTCATAGGGTAACTGCTAGTCGATCATTTGTTACTTACTCTCGCTTGTTTTATTCACTTTAGTTGCTAATTAACTTTTGATAATTGAACACGTTTCGCTGTTTCGTGGCAGGTCAGGTAGAAAGTGACGTGGGGAAAGTATTCTAAATGAGTTTTTATATTTCCCATACATATATACTTTGTTTTCTTTTAATCATATTTTGTTATCTCTGTCTCTCTCTCTCTTTTCCCTCTGTTTATGCAACATTTGCCAAACAAAATAAATGACAACAAAGCTGAAAATGATATTTGTTTTCGTCGGGTTAAGTCACAGTTAAACGGAGCTGCTTATTGATTGCCGCGTGCTCCACGTAATATGCAAATTTATTGAACAAATCGAGGTTTTGACACGGCTCGCAGCTAAGCGAAAACTTGATAACAGAGGCGCCGGTTGGGGCAGGGTTTTGCGATGTATGATGAGAGATTTGTCTATATTTAATAATAGCTGATTGTGTAATCAAATACGCTTAACATGATAGTGCTTACAGATCATTTACATGGTTTACTTATGTTAACATGCTGTCAACTGTTAAATAGTAACAGAATGTGTTATTGTAACTCTTGAATAAACAAATATTAACAGAGATTTAAAAGGGTTTATCTGGAAGTCTTATCTTATCTTATAAATATAAAAATATTAAAAATTGATTTAGGTTCTGAGTTAAACTTTATTGCCTGAAACTTACAGAGCTTGTGCATAAAGTTCTTATGTCAATAAGATTCCTTATGGCTTTCATTTCAAAAAATTTTGAGTGCTTGGAACCTAGTGTCAAAACGATTCGATGATGTTTCATAATAAAGGGAATAGGCCTCCGTACCCCTGCCTAAAACAGACGACGCAACAGACAACTCTTAAAAACGCTGATGAAAAAACACAACTAACAAGCTCTATCTATTCATCTTATTTTTCACAGGTAAAAGAAAGCAAAACAAAACCAAGAAATACAACAACAAAATTAACAACAAATCCGATTCAAGCCTCAAGTGAACTGCCCAAAGAAATACAAAAACCCAGAGAGTGAAGCAGAGTTACTCACATAACGGTAATTCCAAGGGACGCAACGAAGCAGAGGGGGGCATATAAAGAAGAAGAAGAAGTAGAAGCAACAGAAGAAGATGTCATTTCGTGTTGTGCGCAGCTCAAAATTTCGTCACGTCTATGGACAGTCATTAAAACGGGAACAATGCTACGATAATATACGCGTATCCAAATCCAGTTGGGACTCCACATTCTGTGCGGTAAATCCAAAGTTTTTGGCCATCATTGTGGAGTCAGCAGGTGGCGGAGCCTTCATCGTATTGCCACACAATAAAGTGAGTATATCTGATAGCTGCGACCACTAAGATACCCTAGAAAAACTGAATACCCATGAGAGTAGCTAATAAAAGCAAAGGATTAGACTAGATGGAAATCAGAAAATTAAACAGTTGATTTAACTTCTGAACTTCTTCTTAGCTACCTTTGCTTATATTTATGTATGTAGAATCATAGTACATAAGCCACAACTTTCCTGACTGCCCTCGTACATATGGAAAGTCCATATGTGAGTCTCTGTAGTAAACTTGTTGAAGTTAATCTTTAAGATAGATTTGCATTTGGCCTCAGTTTGATAGCTCCTACACCCTTCTTCTCAAACTCTTTGAGCTTATCTATGGTATTACTTAGTCATATGCCCTTGCTGAAATGCCTGTTAAAATTCAGCAACGTTAACTTTTCTGACTACCCTCGCATATACATAGGCCATTTGTAGATTTAGAAAGAGTGTGTCATTATAAAGCTATTTATATAGGCACAATGGAACCTCTATTTATAGGGTATTTGGGGGTTGCCATTTGTGGTCTTGTTGCCATGCTAGGAAGTGACGTCGGTGAGAGGCTATTTTCTGTATATGTATATACCCTGTAGATGTGAGTTAACGGAAAGCTTATAGAGGTTCGTGCATTACTATAATTCGAGCTAGAACATGGATTGAAGAAATTGAGGCAGAAGCAAGTCGTTCTTTTGCTACACTCGTTCATTTAGTCTTGAATCATGTTTGTTGCTCAGTTATTCAGCTTTTTAATCAGGCATCGACAGCTGTTTAGCGCATGAACCAGCTGCGCAAATCAAGTACAACTTATGGTTCATTAGTAGTAAAAAACAAAATTAATCGCTGCATAATCTCTGCTGTAGTGAGAGGAATGTACAATGAGTTGACTAGTGCATTTTCAAAAAAAAAAAAAAAAAAAAAAAAAATGCCGATAAGCAGCAAACATATATCAGATAGGCCGGCTCTTGATCTATTCTTCATCCTTTCATTCTGCCTACTGTAGGATATCTTCTAGTCAATCAGTCCTCAACTTTGCCAATTGTCTTTGGCCTTTTGTCGTCTCGTCATGTCTCATGCTTTATAAATAAAGCTAGATCCTAGCATTATGAATTCTAGGCAAGCAAACCTCAACCCAACTCTTAAGAGAACTCTCACTCGCTCGCTCTCTCTGTCTCCCGCTCTCGCTCTCGCTCTCAATTTCTCAGCAGTTTTCTTGGCTGGCTGCCAACATGACACATCAAATTGTCTAAATTTATAAAAATAAATTAAAAATTGCAAAAATATATATATACAGATATTGAATATATAGCATATAGTCTCAGCCCCTATTTAGCTATATATATAAATGTATGTATATATATCGTGAGTGAGAAGTTATTGAAAAACTGCAAAATCGAAAAGTGTAAAAAAAAGCTGAGCATCTGCTCAGCTGTCTTCGCCTTCGCCGTTTGTGTGGGCGTTTGCCTTAGCAACGCGTCTGATTTTTGGCCTGGTCAATTCTAATTGGGCCCAAATTTGTATGCAAAACGCGCTCCGTACGAAAGTTTGTTATTTTTTTCTTCATGCAGCAGCAGCTGCTGCGGTAGCCGCCGCTTTCACACGCTCTAAATTTGAATATTTTATGGATTTGGCTGACCTTAAATTCAATTTTTGGAGCGTGCATTAAATGGACACGATTAGGTGGATGGATGGAAGAGTAGGACTTGCAATTGGAGGCAGAGGTGGAGACATATAGAGAGAAAGATCGAAATTTTGAGAATTCTTTAAAAGTCATATATTTTATTTTAATCAAGTTTATTAAAAAAAAAACAATAACCATTTTAGTTTTAATGTTATCGATTATTAAAAACCTTATCGAATATCAGTTATAAAGCTACATCTCCTACATCTCCTAGATTCATTTTCCTTTGCGAACAGAACATATACATATTTTATTACATTTATATAATGTCATATTTCAGATGGTCATAATGAAAAATGCCAGCAAACATGATAATATAAGTACGAAATTCACAATAACACGCTTTCCTACATCTAGAGCATCCATTAGATTAACTCTGCAGCCGCATATGTATCCGCATGCAGCGCACAGTTTTATTGGATTCGCATATTTATATTTTGGACGAATTACGTGACATTTTCTATCAGCACTACCAGAACATAACACATCCGTTAGTTTACCTAAAATACCGCGATTTCCAGAATCAGGTGTTATACGAAATGTGAAATAGATGCGAAATTACCTTTTATTTTCATACCGGGATTCAAGCACGCATCGATTCTAGGGTCCGTATATTCTCCAGGTTCCTTCCAATCTATTTTTAGCGAGTCATACTTGTTGCTCCACATAAAAGTATCGTTTACTCTACAATTTTCTAAGATCCCACATTTCACACATGTATGTTGGCCATTTACATCTGTAAAGTTTAGTTTCGAGTCATTTGGCCCAGATGTAATAATAAATTTACTGTGCTTTACTCTTTCTAAATGGATGCTTACATGAAGTTAAATAAAGAATCGAAAAGCCAAAATAAATAATCACAATTTTCAATTTTTCCATTTTCGAATTTGACTATAAAACATAAGAGACCTATGAATGAAAAAGTTCTACGAATCGCATTCGATAATTTTCTATGTATTTGGAAACAGATTGCTTTGGTTTTTATACCCTAAACCCATTGAAAATGGGAATTCAGGGTGTAATGGTTTTGTTAAAAGTATGTGACAGGCAGAAGGAGGCGTGGCAAATCCAAAAAAGGATATATATTCTTGATCAGGGCGACGAGCTGAGTCGATTTAGCCCTGTCCATCTGTCTGTCCGTCCGTCCGTTTGTATGAGCGCGTCGATCTCAGAAGATATAAGAGCTAGAGACCTGAAACTTTTTTTCCTTGGTGCGTGTAGATCAAGTTGTTCTCTAAATATCGAAAACTATTCCCGATATTTTATTATCGATTAAAACCCTTATCGAAAGCTAGTTATTTCATTATATCTCCTACATCTTTAGAGCTACAGTCTCCAAACTTTAAATATAGACCTATATATTTTATATAATTTCGATTTTTGTTGTAGTTTCGCCCCAACCCCTATATCCACCCTCTCACCCTCACCTTTGTAAAAGACGTATTTCAAATACTAGAGAGTTGTGCTTCGGCATATACACGCATGTCAATGTTATGATCACGACCTACAAGTTTCATGAGGATCGTATATCCACAAGAAGTAACTTTATCACATATATTTTATTTCAGATGGTCAAAATGAAAAACGCTAGTAAACATGATAATATAAGTATGAAATTAACAACAACACCTTTCCCTACACCTAGTGATTCCAGTAGATTTCCTGTACAACCACATATGAACCCGCATTCGGCGCATAGTTGGCTTGTAGGTGCCTTTTTATTTTCTGGGCGAATTGCGTGACACTTGTTATCATGACTAGTAGAGCATACCAGATCCGTTAGTTGACCTAAAATACCGTATTTTTCAGAATCAGACAAATTATACCAGCTGTGAAATAGATGGAACATTACCTTTTATTGTGTAATTGGGTATCATGCAATTATCGATTTTTGGGTCTGACTCATCTTGAGGTCCCCTTAATACTATTTTATTATCATCATCCTCGTGATTAGACACAAAAGTTTCGTTTACTGTACACGATTCTAAGTTCTCACAGGTCAGACATATATTTTGGCCATTTACACCTGTAAGATTTAGTTTCGAGTCATTTTCCACAGATCTAAACATAAATTTATTGTGCTTGATGACTTCTATATGGATGCTTACATGAAGTTAAATAAGGAATCGAAAACGAAAAGCCCAAATAAATAATCAAAATTTTAAATTTTTCCATTTTCGAATTTAACTATAAAACGTAAGAAAGAAAAAAAAAACTGCTTTGTATTTGGAAACAGCTTGCTAGGTTTATTAATATTTAATATGAAATCCCCGTTAGATACACCCATTCACCTAAGTTCTTTATAGGTACGTACATATATAGATCGAGCAGACTAAGTTTGTAAAAATTGTAGTTTTGGTGTTATCGATTCTCAATCTACAAAGAACTATTAATTAAACAACTAAGTTTCCATTATAGACCCAGAGTAAGCAGAAAATAATTATTAGTTCTTCGAAGGGTTAATGGGATTTCGTACTCAGACGAGCAGTCACGAAGAAGAATGAATTCAAGTCTATATATATATATATATATATATATATATATATACACAATTTGATACTATACAATTTCTAATATAAAATCCATTTTAGTCTCAATTGAAGAATTTGTGCATTGAATTGCTTGAAACTACTTTCATCAAAGTCTTAAATTAATCAGATTTGACTTGACTATATCTTAATATTTTATATCCCTCTTTCATGTTTCGTTTAGGTCGGGCGCATTGCAGCGGATCATCCGCTGGTGGGCGGTCACAAGGGTCCAGTGCTGGACATCGCTTGGTGTCCGCATAACGACAATGTGATTGCCTCTGGCTCGGAGGATTGTGTGGTGAAGGTGTGGCAGATACCAGATGGCGGACTATCGCGCACACTCACCGAACCCGTTGTGGATCTGGTGTTCCATCAGCGACGCGTCGGTCTAGTCCTGTGGCATCCGTCAGCGCTCAATGTGCTGCTCACAGCGGGCTCCGATAACCAGGTAGAGTTCGAGTCGGAGGTATCCAAGATCTGGATTAACATATTTACGTCTTGTCTCAATTAGGTCGTCATCTGGAACGTGGGCACTGGCGAGATTCTGGTGCACATTGACTCCCATCCGGACATCGTTTATAGCGCCTGCTTCAACTGGGACGGCTCCAAGCTGGTCACCACCTGCAAGGATAAAAAGATTCGCATCTATGATCCACGAAGCGGCGAATTGGAAAGCGAAGCGATGTGCCACGAGGGCTCGAAGGCGACTCGCGCGATCTTCTTGCGTCACGGCTTGATCTTCACGACCGGCTTCAATCGCAGCTCGGAGCGACAGTACTCGCTACGTGCCCCGGATGCGTTGAACGAACCAATTGTCATGGTCGAACTGGATACATCGAACGGTGTGATGTTCCCTCTGTACGATGCGGACACAAATTTGATCTATCTGTGCGGCAAAGGAGACTCTGTGATACGTTATTTCGAGGCAAGGCTTTGATCTTCAGCTTCATTTGATCTCTGTTTAATTTGGGCGTTTGCTTTAGGTCACGCCGGAGCCGCCGTTTGTGCACTATATAAACACATTTCAAACGCCCGATCCGCAGCGTGGCATTGGACTGATGCCGAAGCGTGGCTGTGATGTAACCACCTGTGAAATAGCCAAATTCTACAGGCTGAACAACAATGGTCTCTGCCAGGTGATATCGATGACAGTGCCACGCAAATCAGATCTCTTCCAGGAGGATCTCTATCCGGACACATTAGCGGAAGATGCGGCCATCACGGCCGAGGAATGGATTGCGGGCAAAGACGCAGATCCGCTAACCTTCTCGCTAAAAGTAAGTGGCGTCAACGGCATAGATTATCGCTCCTGGCTATTAGGATAACAGCGTTGCCCTTGCAAGCTATGGCAGCTGCTGTTCATAGAAGAGAGAGCGTAAAGAGATCTATTGTAGATATGTTACAGAATTTTCATATATTGTAGTATATAAGAAATGTCCTTATGTTTGCGCTTGGCTAATATTTCGTGTTTTGCTTGCTGCTCGTTTCGTCTCGTCTGCTGGCGCCATCATCATCAGTGATCATCAGTGCTGGCAATTTAGCTGTTTGCCCTGAACAGATCTAGCCTTTTATTTTTGGCTATTTTTACCCGTTTCTTGTTGCGGCCGATCTGTTGTGCTCTTGAGACAGCACTGTCCAATACACAAACACAAACACACACACATACGAAGAGAGCAAATAGTTAAAGAGAGCTTAAAGCATTATAACAGTATAACAGTATAAGCCAAACAGTAATGAATGTTAATGCAGCCTGTCTGCTCGCTTACACACACATGCTCACGCATACCTCGCCTCACTCACACAGACACACGCTTACGCTCCTAACACGCACGCTGCGTGGCGCTTGTTGTTGTGTTCTTTGTTCTTTGTTGTAAGCCCATCAATCTGAACAGCTAACCTAATAAACCTAATCAGGATCGCGTCTCCATTGTACAGGGTGGCTATGTCTCCTCCGGCAACACGACACTCTCTGTGAGCAAGAAGGCCAACATATTGAACAAGGCGTCCGCATCGAGAGGCGGCGGAGGCGGTCCGCTCTCTGGAGGCAATCATTCATCCGCGAATAACAATGATTCGAATGATGCCAATCAAAGTGCAGCGATATTCTCGGTAAGTAATGCAGAGATATACCTGTATATACATATATAGCTGATGCTAATTAAATTTACTTACTGCAGGAAAAGGATCATCGCAATATTTTAGATGAGATTCGCAAGCTGAAAGCGATTATTGTGAAGCAAGAGAATCGCATTAGAGCCTTGGAGGCGAAGGTCAATGCAGCTGCTGGCGATGAGACGGATGCACGGAATAGCAATAAAAATGGCAGCGGAGCAGCGGCGGCAGCGGAAAGCAGCAGCAGCAGCCAACCAGCGGCCAGCGAAAGTGCCAATGACCACAGCACAGCAAAGGATAATGCGCATGAAGATGACTAAAAAGAAGAGAGAGAGAGAGAGAGAGAGAGCAAAAGCAGTTGGCACAAAGAGCGGAAGTAAAAGAGGGGAACGTATCAGACAGAAAGCAGAGCCAAGCCGAGCAGAGAAAGCGAGAGAGGAAGCACACAGAGTCGTGTTGGAATGGAATGGAATGATGATGATTATTATTTGTACACGCTCAAGAGGAGAAGAAGAAAGAGAGCGCGAAAGTTGTCTTTCGTCTATGATTATGATTTTCAATTATTTATTTTATATAATTTTAATGTTAGGTCTTTGTACGAGCTAAATGGAAGAAGCAAAGGAATACATACAGAAAACACACAGAAAATCCTGCCAAAAAATTAAAAAGAAAACAATATATTGTTAACCTGACTAGCTGCAAAAGATCGTAACGAAGCATTAAGTCGAGCTGTGTTTTTCGTATGTGAAATTGTTGTAAATTTAACAAAACAAACAAAACAAAAAAAAAGAAAAAACAAAACAGAAAAGAAAAGAATCAAAGTATAGACTAAATTGCAATCATTTAAAAAGTAATGCTATGTCCTACCAATTTACACACAAATTACGAACTTTTCTATACATATACACATAAATATTTATATATATATATATATATATATATATATATATATATACATACATATATACATACATAACTGATTACCCCCTATTGAGGCAATATATATATATATATATCCATGACAATAGCTTTTATAACAATTAGGCATCCGCGAAAATTTGTCCGCCGCTTTCATTAAACATTAAACACAAAAACTTTTCTTGTTCTAACTAATAATAAGTTGTATTTTGTAATAATAAAAGAAGGAAAACCAACGAAACTATTTTCAAAATATTGAAGATTGTGCAACAATCAAAGAAAACAACAAATAATAATGTTAAAGTGCTGACTATAAACAAATCGCTGTATAAATAATTTAAAGTTTGATACGAAATAAATAAAAACAAAGATGAGATTTTGAAATTTTTGAATTAATGGCAGTTCAGCACTCTGGTTAGTGGCAATACGGTCAGACTGTATAGGGCTGCTGAAACGATATATTGTACTAAAATATCGATAATATAGACGGACATATCACAATTATGAACCGAAAAGCAACCGTTGCCAGCAGAGAAAAGTGTGATTGATAAAATAAAAGTCAAAATTATTAAAATTCCCATTATAAAATTGTTGTCTCAATATGTTGACTTATCTAAATGAGTTAAAATACGAGGAACTGTCTAATTGTTTTCAAATTATATCGTGCATATTCGAAAAACATTTATTCAAATTATTTTAAATTTCATCAAATCAAATAAGTAAGCTTTATTACCTAATACTCCTTGATTCGCCCTCGTAAATGCCATTCAGCTTAAAGGCCCACATTTACTCAACTGCTAAAGTTCATAAAGTTCATTTATCGATACATCGATATATTTCGTTAAACACTACAAAAGCCCAACATCGGCTGTTGAACGGTTCATTCGTGTTTTCTTCGTCGTTCGGTTAAACACGTAGCAGAGAGTTGCGCCGTGAGAGTCAAAGCCACAGATAAAAAAATTTTGTGCACGCGCATTCATATAGTAGAAAAAAGAATAATCTGTCATTATTTAATCGCCTTCACGTGTATTTTGCAATAGTGAAATAATATACTAAGCAGTCTAATTGTGGCAAGCAAGAGAAATGCAAACGGCGTTACATAAGCAAATGTTCAGCATTTGCAAATGAATATTTACTAAGCATCAAATGAAAACGAAGCAGACGAAAAGGCGTCCGTCAAACTTCCCAGTTTTCGGCTGAATATTTCATCAGTTATATAGACAATTTATGTGCTAAGAGCTGCAGAGTAACTGTATTGAAAAGCGAAAATACTTGAACTGAACAACCCAAAGAGAGAGGGAAAATATGTGCTCGGCAACAAAACAAAGGCAGAAATGTTTAAGTATACGAAGCAACAGCAACAACAACATTAGCAGCAGCAGCAGCGACAGCACCAGCACCAGCAGCAGACAAAATATATCGGCGCTTAGCAACAAGACGAATTCACTGCGAATTGCGGCCATGTGTAACGAGTTTCTCTGATTCGCTGTAGATCAAAGACGCAGCTATAAGCCAAAGATTGTAAATACAATACGTATACACATACACATACATATATAGATACATACATATATATATAAAGAGTAAAAGAGCAAGCTAATTGCTTATAATATCAAAAATAACAGTACAACAAAGTCAAATCGCGCAATCGAAAATGAACGCAAATACAGCGCCCAGCAGCCCTGGCAAATTCAATGTGT